GTAGAGATCTCCCGAAATTGAAGACAATTTTACGAATTCCAAAAAATTGTAGAAGTTTCCAAGAATTCCAAAATTTCCAAAATTTCCGAAATTTCCAAAATTTCCGATATTTCCAAAAAAATTTCCAAAGTTTCCGAAATTTCCAAAACTTCCAAAATTTCAAAAATCTAGACCCTATTCCGCAGAGTCGGTCCTAAACATTAGGGGGAGACATTTTGGAAATTTTGGAAATTTCGGAAATTTCCGAAATTTCGGAAATTTTGGAAATGTCGGAAATGAAATTAGAAGAGGTGATTGCCACCCATCCGTTGACAGATCATGCCTGATTAAAAGGCAAAGGAAAAGGTGCGGGCTCCGGGCGGGGGGGTACCATATATATATATATATTTATTTATTTGTTTTTCAAGCCGAGTGCCACACTCTACACCTCAAACCGCCTCAAACCTTAAACTCCCAATCGGCCGCGGCACCTTAGTGTACCTCTGCTGGCCTGTGTGCCGCCTGGTCTACGTCAGATCATGTGTCGCTCGGCCAAGCACGTTGTAGAACGGCGGCCTGGGTGGCGGAATGTTTGGTCACCGAGCCCTCAACTGTCGAGTCCGAGTGTGCTGAAGCTACGCCCCAGACCCCGAAGGTTGAGGTTCAGCAAATTGGCCGCAGGATGCCCAGGCTTGTGGATCTCATGCGCTGGGTCTTTCTGATTAATCCTCACCTGTATGAGGTCTTCTGTAGTTCGATGCTGGTGGGAGAACTTAGACCACCTACCTCAACTCTAAGATGGCTAGAGCTGGACTGATCGAAAAAGGCTCTCCACATGTGCTCTCCACAACGATAAGAAGGCGGAAAAATCAAAGAAACACTGCGACTGAAGCAAACAACACGTTGCCATGACTTGCGTTCATCAGCACACGAACACTCTTGATCGCCATATCAGCAACGATAGTGACCCCGCACAACATGAATGACCACAATAGTCTTGGAGTCTTTTGAAACCCTACACCCGAAACGATAGTTAAATTCGCAATCCTAAATGCCTCATTACATCTTTTCGCCGAGAAACTGAGGACTTTCGGAAGCGACTTGCATGGCCAGGGACCGCCGTGTAGCGGTGTCCAGCCATTGGCCTCAGGAGCATTGTGGCTTAGGGGGTTGTGGTCTTTACGAAACGGTCGTATCGAAAAGGCTTCAACAAATTATGCAGGTGGCTTGTTTCGGGGCTTCTGTCCGGGGCTTGGGAGTCTACCATGAAGGCTCAAAAGTATGGGCTGGACAGGGCCGTGTCCGCAACAGCGGAAATGAGAATTACGCCCTTTCCTGAAAGGTATCAAACGTGGAACAAAATCCCTGCGCATCCCGAACCTGAAGAAGTCCAGGGTTTGGGTCAAATTTAGGAATTTGCTGTTTCAAGGTGCTGGTCTAACTGTAGGGTGACATGCCTGGCGGAAATCGAAAAGGTGGTTCAGTATGTCAAGGCTTGCACCTTGAGGTTCGGGCTTCCTTTGACCAGATCTGTTGCCTTAACCTGGGACGTTAGATTTTTGGCGTTTTTAGAGCCTTTGCTGAGGCAAAGCATCCGCGAAGCCTCAGAACTTTGTTGGGTGGATGTTAGGCGGGGGTCCATCGTTTGCAGGTCCTGACGACTGAGCATGTAGAAGTTCTGCGGGATGAGCGCTTGCAACGCATTGTGTAGCCGTCTTTCCTGTCTGACTCCTCTGTGCTTTTGCTGCTGCACCCTGCCATGCTGTAGTACTACTGTACAACTATATTCAGCCCTCTAATCAGGCAACCGTGCATGTCGGCACAGCGAAGGGCACGGAAGCTTTTCTGGCTTCTCAATCCTTGAAGCGGGTAGGTATAACTTGTAACAGAGAATGTTGTCCCTACTGTAGATGAAGCCCTGTTAGCAGACGTAGGACTCGCAGCACTGTGAAGCAAGAGCCCGCACGTTAGGGCCATTTCGCATCGGACCAGCTAGCAATATCACAACATGCACATTGTTGGTAAGTTTTAGTAACCAGGATGCGGGGCAATTCTACTCGTGTGTTAGAGGTTCCAGCTTGCGGGCTTCAGATGTTGCAGTGTTGGGGGCCTAGGAAATTGAAGACTACGGGGTTGTGTGGTTTGCTGTTTGGGGGTTTAGCACTGGGATTTGCAAGCGATGTGCAGTGCGACTTCAGCTGATCCGCCACTCAATGCCTGTAAGTGCAGAAATGTCACCGACGACAATGTGCAGCAGGGTGGCTGCCTCAACTGCTGCATCGTGAAGGTGGTTTGCAACAAGACAGTCCACCCTGTATGAATTCTTTGATATGCATTCCTGCTGCTTAGACTTCGGGAGCTTTTGCTCACACAACTGCACAACCCCGAAACCACAAGGCCTGAATAACAAAGTCTTGCAGGGAATGCATTGCGGACATTCGTTTTGGAGTGAAGACTGAGTTTATTGCTTGCGGTGGTCTTTCTGGGTGTTGCTTCAGATGTATTCGACACATTCGTGGCCCGTGCGCCTGTTGTTTTGGAGCCGATGCCTGATATTGCGATGGCATACCCGAAAAATCTGAAAACGCCACGACACAAACGAACCCAGTGGAGACGTCTTGAAAGGCAAGTCAACATGCCTCTTTAAGACCTTTCTTTCCCACGCAAACACCAACCCCTGACTTCTAATCCTCGATCTCCATAACCTTAGCCCTAAGACCCGAAACCCCAAACATCTAGCCCTCAATTCAGTCTAGGCGCCACCGCGAGTGCCAGGACCACCGTCCCTGCAGGATGGGTGACCAGATTCCAAACGTTGCCATCGAGACCGCCGCTCCTGTTAGCGTCTGGGAGGGGTCTAGTCTACGGTTTACCGCTGAGGTTTTAGGGCCTAAGGCCTAGGGTTGAGGGATTCTAGGTTGGATTTAGAAGAAACATAAACAAACAATCTCGAGAGCTGTTGTGAGCACGGGCATTGAATGTGAGGACGCTTGACTCGACAGATCTTAGACAGTATCTTCATGAACCCAGGGTCGTTGCTTTCTCTGTTGGACTGCTGGAGGCCTTGTGACCTTTGATACCTGTTCCCGGTAGGTAATTTAAAAGTCTGGCTCTTCTCATTGTGTGATTACTGTGAAAGCGATACAGCAATCTGTCTTCAACCTGACTGCGGTGTTGACTGCGACCGTCATTGTCAACGTCATGACAGGGTTCATCATTCTCGCGACCATCACCATCACCATTTTCTACAATGCAGTATGTATGTATGTATGTATATATACATATTTGCAAAAAGTTGAGATCTCATGACGGACCCAGGACTGGGGGAAAACCAATCTGAATCTGATGTTCGGGCCAGGCCGCTCCAAATCTGCATCGATGCCTCGATTGCACGTACATGGATCGAGCTGAGAAGACAGTCGTCTCCAGCCATGCAAATGCTAAGTTTTGCAACGCAATTCAGGGGTTGAATGAGCAGAACGTTTCTGTTGCTAAAACTGTGCCAAATGCATGTTGCGCATGCATGTCAGAGCGTCAGGTGGGGCATGCATGGCAAGCCCACAAATAAACCCTGGTCCTCATTTCCTACATGAGAAGACCCCCAAAACCTAAACCCGAGACCGAAACTTTAAACCCCAAGCCCTCTACTTTGAGAAAACACTGCCGAACCCCGGTTTGCAAGTATGAAGACTCCAAGGAAGGCCCAAAGCCCCCGACTGGAAAGGGGATATTCAGCCTTGCCAGCCAGGCTGCCATGAAGCTACTGGCTACACATGTATGTGTACATACGTAAATGAATCAAGACATAAGCAAACACATGGGTACATTCATGTCATGTGCACATATATGTATGGTAGTATATACACATATACACACACAGATATATATATATATATATATATGTATGTATACACGTACACATGAACATAATACATAAATTTACATATAGTATACACTCGCATGACATAGAAGCATCGTGTGGTACAGTATAGCTGCGTTATGCATTACGCACTGTAAACGGACAGCAGACAAACTTGAACATCTTTGTGGTTTAGCAAATGCCTGTAGAGTGTAGTGTTGGGAAGCAACGCTTGTACTAATCGTGGCTCCCACCTATATCAAAAACCCAAATCATCGCATTCTAAATCCGATGCCCTGCGCCCTGCCTCCTGCGCCCTGCCCCCTGCGCCCTCAATCCACCTACTTGCAGCTGGCCAAAGGGCGGTCGGTGATGGAGAAGGTGCGGAAGCAGATCTGGTTTGAGAGCGCGAAGTCTGCACCCAGAACCCACGACACCTGTTTGGGTTCAGGGTTCCGGCTTAAGGCTTTCGACTCAATGTCGCTCGACCGGGTTTGGAGCACTAACGAGGAGGAGAGAGGCGCCAATTCAGCATTCTGGCTCGAAAATTGCTGAAGCAGGGAACCACCAAGAGAAGAATAGAACTTAGTCGAACCTCCTTTCCCATTTCTAGTAAACTCTAGTGTCACTGCGGATACTACAATCGTTGTTGACATCGCTGCTGCTGGTGCTGCTGCTGCTGCTGGCGGTAGTGGTGGTCGTGGTGCTGTTGCTGCTGCTACTGCTGTTGTTGGCATGACTGCGTGTCCGTTTGTGACTATGTACTGACCATGAGCTATTCGACGGGTCTTCCTGTTTATTGCAGGTTTCGCTCTGTATTGCGATGTTGACGACTAGACCTTCGCCGAAATCAGCAACAGCACAATTGTGACGGCTTTTGCGACCGGCTGCACCCGCAACCTCACCCTCATGTCAATGCAACATTAGGGTCTAGCTTCGATGGTCGTCGACCCTCAGCAAGTGCAAACCAGCATGTGCAACACTGCCAGACTGGAGTTCTGCGCTTTTGAGGCTCGGGCAATCAGAATAATGATGGATGAGAGTAGGATTCCATCTCGGAGTAGCCAGTGCATGTCTTCCCACTGTGTGAGTTCGGCCTCAGCTTTGGGTTCAGAGAGGAGTCCGGCATGACAGGCCCGGCTCCACTTTTGGGAAGGCACTTTGGTAACAAGAACGGCAACAAACAAAGCGACGAGCAAACATACCTCACCGAACAAGCACATCTTCTACCGCTGGACCAACACTTGCCATCGTAGAGTTGTAATTATTCAAGCCCAAACAGAGTAAGTGTTGCTTGTGGGGGCTTCTCTTCCGGATAGTACGGACAGGGGGTCCCAATGCAAAGGTCTCAGGTTTTTGCAGACCAGAAACTACTCTGCCAAAGAGAGCAGATAGCAAGCATGCTTTCAGTCCGTTTGAATCCAAAGAACTCAGCTTGGGTGATTGCTGCTGCGCTTTCAGAAGTATCCTTCGGGAACTCAAATCTGCTGAACTAGGGGCATTGACCGGAACACTCTTCGCGTGAATCGTGCATCTTGTATATGCCTGTTCTATAATCTGGAGAACAGCTCGTCCATCACCCGAATGCGAGATCTTTGGAATCTCCTGACTGAGATTTTGAAGTGGTATTGGTTCAAGACTGGTTCACGTCTCGAACTCCCCTAACCTTGCGACGCAAAGAGGATGGAAGTCAGTCAGGGGCCTCGGTCTTGTCCTGCCAAGCGGCATACTTCCGGGTGTAGGCGGCCTCTTTCTTCGTAAGCTCTGCAACCTGAGAAGCTCGGAAGAGTGGCGGAAGGCGATTCAAGGCTGCGGCTTGCGGTCTGCTTTGGGTGGAGCTTGCATTGGCGGCCTGGCAGTCCGAAGTCCTCCTGAGGGCAGCTTGGAGTCAGAGCCGGGGCCGGTAGTACACATAAGGAACGACAAGTCCTTCTGGAATAGTTCCTAGGAGATGACCCATAATGCATCAGCGGCCTACTAGCAGCCGTACGGGAGTACAGAAGCAAAACGGCCTGGCCTAAAGCAGCAGCGACAGCCGCAGCAGTGTCAGCAACGGACGTGGCAACAGCAGTAGCAAGCATCAAGAAACACGAAGAACTACTACCAGGTAGAAAACTACAAGAGCACAACATCATCGCAACCAATTGCAGCAATGTCAGATGGACATCTGGCTGTCGATACCTGGCCCGGAGGTCCCAGTCATCATAACACAAAGCTCGCAAACCTGATCACAGCTGTGGCGGGGGGGGGGGGGGGGGGGG